CTGGGGGGTGGGGCCAGGGGGGCGCCGCTGTTGTTGGAGCCCGCTGGGCTTCCCATGGGTCCTACTGCCTTTGGTTCCTGTCATTTTTTACAGGAGCCAAGGGCAGAGAAATATTAATTTTCCAAATTTTTTTAGGCGCCCTGTGGGCCGGATAGAATGGCCTTGAGGGCTGGATCCAGCCCGTGGCCCATATTTTGCCCAGCCCTGGTTTAAAACATTTAAAACAAATAAAATGGTGTTTGAAAGTTGCTGAGAAAAGCTTAGAAACATGAAAGCCAAGAACTGAACAAGCTGGATGAAAATACATGTTTTCGTTTCTCAAAATCATTCTATGTTTAGCCATTGTCATGATTTTGGAAGTCTGGCCCATGATTACTGAAAGATTGAAATTATTTTTCTCTCCTTTTAAAGGGTAGACATTTTAGACTTCTTCAATTAAACATAAACTGAGAATATACAGGAAGGACCGTATGTCCTTACACTCTATCTTGGCTCACTCCTTCAAACCCATGTAAGAAGAAAAGTTGGCTTCTTTATATTCTCTAGAATGGTTCTATAGAATGGATGGTTTGCTCTACTTCTGTCTGCCCTTGTAAACTTGTAGCAGTCTCCTACAATGTCATGATTTAGGTAACAAGTTCTAATGTCTTGCTGTTGCCTCAGAATAAGTGATCATTTCTGTAAAGGAAAAACAGAAAATGTCTGGATCTTATGAAAAATGACACTTGTCACTCAGGTGATTCTTACTTTTGATATGTTTTGTGATTCATAGAAGCTTTTAGCTTTCCTTTTTCTTCATTCATGTATGTGCATGTATGGCTAATGATGTGTGCATCTGTGCATTTCAGGAAGGTTCCATGGATAGCTTATATGAGCCAGTCCAAGAGCATCAAGAGTCCAAGGACACTATGAGCATTGACAGCAGGTCTAGCACTCCACTGACCACTTATGTGAAATGGGGCCCACCAGACAGATCCATGTCTTTGGTGAGTAAAAATAAAGTGTAAAGTACCCAATGCACTTTATTCAAAACCATCAGTTGTTTTGTGTATATTTTCCAACAGAGATTGCTTTGGAGTGGGTTTGTTAAACACTTTATTGTTACAAAATTAGACTATGTTATTGTATCTGCTTATAAGTGGTATCCTTTGATATTGATACAGTTGTTGAATCTGTCCTATTTTCCTTCTCAACACATTTCTATCTTCTTCAGCATTATTCAGATCATCTTCAAGAGACTAAACACCCAAGAAATTAAAATAAATGAGGTCTTGGATATCTGTTGGGGGAAAAAATGCCAGCATTTCATCAAAACAAAACAAACAAATGAAAATGAAGAAAAAATTAGGCAAGAATGGGGAAAAAATGTTGCAGTTTTCCTGGTGGGAAAATGATGTAATCCAGCCAGCTCTTCTAATGTTACATTGTGCCATGTCAAAAACTGTGGTACAATTGGGAGACCTCCTGGTTTGCAAACTAGCACAAGGTACAGACAACCAGAGGATAGTCATACAGGGGGAAAAAGGAGAATTTGGTGGACCAGAAGAGGTGAAGGAATAATGTCACTGATGTTGATTTAGGCTCAATATAGTAGATGTGGGCTCACTAACTTTGTGAATGCTGTAGTACTGAGAATAGAAGTGTAGAGACCAAAATCCAAGTGGTCTTTCATTTGGATTGATTATTCATATAGTTGAGCATAGGAAAGAATTAGGTAACTATTCTCACTACTGTGCTCTGTGCAGAATACTTGTTCTCCTTCACCCCCTGTGGTGCCAGCATTTTGAAGTTATTGCTCTGCTAATAAAACACTCTTGGGATCACTGGGAATGAAAGGCATTCAGTAATATAAACCATTGCTTTGTATTTATAATGAATAAAACTAGAGCAACAAAAACTAACCAAAATCTTTCTTAGAAACAAACCCAGTTAAAACCTGGGTGTTTTTCTTTCATAAGCATGGAATGCAGTAAACCATCTATGCAGTGTTTGGGTCTGATATAAAAATTAATTAGTAAAACACAATGTTGACTGTGTCCAATATGAATTGCCAGATATGATTTTCAAACTTTGTAAAGCATTGGGATTAACATACACCAGTTACCTCTCAAAACTGAGGTCAACCTAGTATTAAAGTGCTAACAAAAAGGTTAGCCCAAACCAAGGACTTGATTGTGCAAAGGGTTACAATATCTCTTCCTTGTGTATCTCTTACATGTAGGGAGTTTGCAGGATTAGGGCCAAGGGTAGCAAAGATGTACAAACTGTGGAGGACAATCAACCAGATTTAGTACATGTATATCATGTAAACCACTGAACTATGCAATACTCCCCACCTGGATCTTTCTTCCATCCTTCTCTCCTTGTTTTCAACCTCAGTCACGAAGGAATGAGTTCTACTTTCCTGTCTCTATCAGGTTTTATTTCAGATGCGTGGATTTCTTCTTATAATCAAAATTCTACTCTATTAGTTCTATACTAATCCAACTCCTATTTATTCTTCTAGATAAAAGTACAATGACTACCATATTTCCCAGGGGTCAACACCAATATGCCGAGTGAGAAATCCTGTGACCCCAGTAACCTCTCAATCATTGCAGCTATAGGGCACCTGATATTTTTCTTTCTTACTTGACCTCTGACACCACCTAAAGTGACTCACTCCCTCACTTTAGCTATGGGATGCCAGTAGTAGTCAAAAAAGATCTGTCCTTATAAAGGCTCAAAAAGAACTCATTCTTTAACTGGGCACTTTGCTCACCAACAAGCATTCATGCCAGGTGGAAACTAGCACAACCGTTTTGAGCCAGAGGATGCAAAATGATGCAAAAAGAGGTATAGCACCCGGAGTGAACAGAGTCTTTATTTGGTAATACTATGTGTGTTCTTTGTTTTTTTCAGAAAACAAATGGGTAATTTTAAAAGGGTTTTGTTTGTTTTTACAATTTTTGTTCTTGTATATTAATTGTACTAAAGGATGGGAAAGGTGAGGAGAGGAAGTAGAAAGGGATTAGCTAAAAAAGAAACTGAAGGAAGGAAGGGAAGTCCAGATACTAACAGAAGCCATAGAAACCAATCTATTTTTGGCATGGTAAGAAGAGTATTTTACCAAGGCAATTTAAGATGTAATGGAGTAAGGCAACACATTTCTGAATGGACACCTTGTTAAAATTTGGAGAGCATATTGCTGGATAGAAAAATGTAGAAGATGGGTGGAATTCAACTATACAAAAAATTGTCCTTGCAAATAGTCATTTATTGAAATGCTGGGTAAATCTATCAATTAAGCTGTCACTTACGAATGTTATTCTTTTTCCTGTTCTTTTTTCTGAAAAGTATCTATTCTAAAGAAGCAAAATTATAGGTGCAGACTTATGAAAACTGTGAAAAAAAATTAAATCTCAATGCTAAAAAATATAAAATATCAAGTAAATGGTCTGGGGTCTACTGTTTCCCAAATAATAATTTGGGAAACACCTTAGCCTTTGAAGACCAAAGTATTACTGGTATAACATTTCATGATGAACAGCTGAAGGGCTCTGATGTGATCCTCCAGCAGGGAACAACAATCAGCTGACTAGTGCTCCAAGCCATGAAAACACCCAGCTCTTCAGCTCCCTTTGGACTAGCAATAGGATGCAATTCGGGTAGGATCCCTGATCCCACAATCACAGCTCACAGATGGCATATCAGGAGGTGTGACTATGGGGATCAGGGATTGGCCCCATCACCCTGGATACTAGAAAAGGCAATATGTTTATGCTAATCTACAGAACAAGCAGAAAAACAAGTAAAAGGCCTAGAGGAAGACACAGAAAAGATGCCTTTAAATGTATTCAGGAAACTTGTCAAATAAAAGGCTACAAAAATTAAGCTGGGCAAGCACAGTTATATGGAAAGCCATAAAAAATGTCAGCTTTGTGGCAACCAGCTTGAGTATAGCAAGTGTCTAGCATTTGGGTAAAAATGTAGAAGCTGTAATAAACTGAATCATTATGCTTAAATGTACAGAGGAAACAGGAACATATGTCTAATAAGTGCAGAAACAGTCTTGTATGTGGAAGAAGACTAGTTGAGTAAAAACATTTTTAAAAGAACACTTTCCCTTACAAGAAGTGAACTTCTGTCAGAGATGGCAGTAGCCAAATTTTTCAGTGTATTAGATGCATCAACAGGTGTTTGGCAAATCTCTTTGGATGCAGAGAGTTCAAAGATCTTCACTTTAAACACCCCATTTAGCCTTCTTAAGACTATCTTTTGGAATACGCTCAGCTCATTTCACCATACAGTGAGCCAGAAGCTAGAGGGTCTAGCAGGTGTGGTGTCACTGAACATCAACAACAACTGAGAAAAGTACTGGATATTGTAAGACCTAACAACCTGAAAATGAATAAGGACAAACATCTGTTTCAAACAACAGGAATGACATATTTGGTGAGAAAATGACCTCAGAAGAAATATTAGCTGATGACTCAAATGTTCCGGTCATACTGAACATGCAAAACCTGAAAATAAAAAGAGAATTCACATGTTCCCTAAGGAATCTTGTTTATAAGGGCATGAAATGGGCCTGGATGCCACAGTATAAGAGCAAATTTAATGATCTAAAATACCTTTTGACACCAGACTCCATGATTCAATTTTTTGACCCATTAAAAGACTTCAAATTCTTCACAGATGACTCAAAAGATGGATCGGAAACAGTACTATTGCAGTACTGCGAACTGGTTGTTTTCCAGTCTCATGTGCATTTAGGACTATGACAGCTGCAGAAAAATTATATGTACAAATTGAAAAAGAGACCCGTGGCCTGGCTTATGGATGTACATGATTCTGTGAGTTACTATACAGTCAGAGATTTACTGCAGAAATAGATTACAAACCACTGATTGAAATATTCAGAAAAGGAATTAGAGATGCATGACCAAGAATGCTACAGCTATTTCTGAAATTGCAGAAGTATGATACAACCCTGGAGCTCTAACCTGGATATGACTTGGTGATGGCAGACACACTTTTAAGAACATACTAGGTGTGTTTACACGAGATGCTAAAAGTGCAGTAGACTAATTCTACCGTGCATTAGTATGTCATGGTGAAAGTAGAATTAGTCTACTGTACATTAGTGCCACTTAAAAGACATTTGCCAATGCTACTGCGCAGTAGTATGGATTACTGTTCATTTAGTGCCTGTTATTACAGGTACTAAACTTACTGTGCAGTAATTACAGTGCATTAATGCATGTGTAGACATGAGCACCTTCTATCAAGTAGTTCTTAATCTGATGATCTGGTGCAAAATAATTAAAACATCATGCAATGTATCTCCAGGCATTTGAGATGAACTGGTGATGAAAATGGCTAAAAATGAAAGACTGCGAGAAGTGATACAAGAAAGGAAGAAAAAAAATCACCATTTTTGACCCACATATTTCAAAATTAAAATGAACTCTCAGTGATCCCACAAGTACTCATAAAGCATATACAGGCTCTGATTCCTACAGTGATGAGAGAGAAAATTTCAGAATGAATACATGAAAGACAGGTGGGAATGACCATATGAAAAAAAGGAAGCAGAGATGTTATCTTTTGGCTACAGATGAACACTGATATTGAAGACATGGTGAGGCAGTGTGGAGGACATCAGAAGTACAGGGATGCCCAGCAAAAAGAACCAATGAGAGTCCTTAAGCAACTTGCTATTCCATGGGCAAAGTAGGAACCGATCTGTTCAGTTTGGGAAGACATGACCACCTGATTATGAGAGATTATTCTACTAATTTCACAGAATGTCACTTGAGACTACCACAGTGGCAACATTTGTCAGCCATATTAAACTAATATTTGCATGTCATGGGATCCCAAGAATTGTAATTTAATTTCAACAATAGGGAATTTTGATATTTTGCTTAAATGTATGATTTTCATCATGAAACATCAGTCTCAATTACCCTCAAGGCAATGGACTGGCAGACTGTGGAATACA